AAGTTTATTTACAAAAAAGAAAAAAGGAACAACCAGTGTAAAAGGAAAATATTTGCATTTAGTGCATTAGCATTTAGTACCAAGAGAGAGATGCAAATTTAGACAAATGAAAGAAAAATTGAAACTAGAGAATAGGGTGACCAGCGTGGTTAACCTTGGCGTTAACACCTTCCTTCTCGATTGTCCGGATTTAGCAGCCATTCCATCTGATAGGCCCAATGGAACGGCAGGGTCGTATATCGACTTATTCCTGCATACGCCAGGAGTAGCACTGGCAGCGTGGAGGGCGACGTCAACGACCCTCTACTTTGAGTCCGACCATAGGGCGATTCTCATAGAGATAGATTCAGGCTCCTTACAAAATGGAGAAGTTAGGTCGTTTCACAATTTCGACCGGATGAATATCCGTCGATATAGGCAGCACTTGCGCAGCGGCTTGGAGGAGGTAACTCTGCCAGCCGATCGCAACGTATCCATTTCGGATATAGATGCCATAGATGCTTCAGTGCCCAAATATATCCCAGGAAGGTTGGTTTTGCGCTTTCACGCCGACCAGCCCGTAAATCCTGCGGTATGGACCAAATTCCCGATGTAGCTTTGAAAAGGGCAGGAAATGTAATTCTGTCCTTTTTGACAATTCTCTTTAATCATTGTCTGAATTTAGGGTACTTTCCTACGGCTTGGAAGGAGGCCAAGATGGTTCCCATACTGATCCCTCTCAGTGTGGTAACTACAGGCCTATTTCCCTCCTATCGCCGTTTGGAAAGTTACTCGAATCCTTTATTCTGGCAAGGATTAGAAGAATCGTAGAAGATAGGAGAATTCTACGAGCTTGTCAGTTTGGCTTTAGGTCTTCTCTCTCCACGACCCATGCCTTAACGGCTTTCAGTAGCTTCGTTGGGAAAGGTTTCGATAGGAAGTACGGAACTATAGCCGTTTCCCTAGATATCGCCAGGGCTTTCGACTCTGTCTGGCACGATGGGATTTTATATAAAATCCAATCGTTCGGCTTTGACAGACAATCCTGTAGAATGGTCGCTAGTTTTCTTAGGGATCGATTCTTCAGGATTAAGGTGGGTGAGCGACTCTCTAGTCGCCGCCCTGTGTTAGCAGGGGTTCCTCAAGGTTCCCTCCTTGGTCCGATGTTATACAACATCTTTTCTTGTGACATCCCGGCTCCTCCTCCTGGTGGTCTTCTCCTGACCTATGCCGATGATGTCCTTTTAGCCTTTTCCGGTCCGCTTGCTAGGTCGGTTAACGAGTACCTCGATGCCCTCCATCGGTACTTCGTTACATGGCGTCTAAAGTTGAATGTAGGGAAATGTTGTGCTACAGCCTTCCTTGGTCGGCCAGGAATAGTATATCCTAATTTTAGAAGGTTTCAGCCGGTTCTTAGAATAGGTTCTGAGCAGGTTTCAGTTTCAGCTGAGTTGAAATACTTAGGTGTTATATTTCAGGAGAGGTTCGACCATATTCGGCATATAGACTACGTCCTGACTAGCGCTAAGGGTCTATATTTCGGATATAGTCGAATCTTGAGGATGAGGGGTGGCCTTTCCCACGATGTTAGGCTTTTGATCTACCGACAGGTGATCAGACCTATCGTCGCCTATGCCTTCCCCGTCTGGTTTGACATTTCGTCACATCAGATGGAAAGGCTAAGGTTGTGGGAAAGAAAAATACTTTCCTCTTGTCTGGGCCTCCGGCCCCTCCGATTGCCAGATGGGTCCTATAGGAGCCGTTCTTGCAGGTCTATCTACGATAGGGCGCAGATAGATAGAATAGATGTCTTTATGACTAAGACTGGACTGGCATTCTTCGACAAATGCCAGTTCATAGACAATAGCATCGTTGAGGGAACGTTTAGGTGCTTAGAAGATGCGGACCAGCTACGAGCTCGGAAGCATTTGCCGCCAGCCGCCCTTTACAGGCTGAACGAGCTGGGCTTACTCCAATGGGATGAAGGTCTTATATTCTACCATAGAAGATTTTTATCCTCGGACTGAAGTAGACTGGTGTACAACACCGCCCAACTCACTCAAGTTAGATTAAGTAGTTTTAAGTGTATTGTAAATATTTAGTTTTAATTTTTCCTATCTAGTTCGAAAGATTTGCATTGCCCTTTTTTATATTATTCTATTTTTCGGGGTATAATTTAAGTTCTAGCCATAAGGCATAATGTAGCTTGTTGTGATCACAAACTTGTTGTGACACTTTTTGTTAACGTAAAGTAGGCGTTGTACAAATGCATGTTTATTTATAGTATGGTTGGGTTTAGGCCATTTAACCTATGTTAGTATTAAGACTTGAATTAATAAAATGGCCATAGGCTAAAAATGAAATGAATTGTTCGTGGTGAGTCTTCTATTGAAGGCTGATAAGCCAAGAGGGGGTTTATAACGATCCCTTGGCACTAGTAGCAGTAGCTAGTGTTTCGTTGAATTTGAGTTGGGTTTATAACGTTCCCTTGTCTGCAACGATTGTAGTTTTTTGTATTTAGAGTTGCGTAGGGTTTGTAGCGTTCCCTTAACTTTAACAGTAGTGAAGTGTGTGGGTTTTCAACGTCCCCTTTACTTCTAAGAGTATTGTTGTACGTCATTTGAGTTGAGAGGTTTCTAACGTTACCTCAGCTCTTGTATTTGTGAAAATTGTGTGTGTTCTCTTGTGAGTAAAGAGGGTTGTATACCGTTCCCTTTACTTTTAAGATAATTTTTTAACAATCCCTCAGCTCTTAAATTTGTGGAGTTTGTTCTCTTATAAGTAAAGAGGGATATAAATTATTTGTAACGACACTGGCTCCCTCAGCTTCGAAGTGAGAAAACACGTCGTCACATTTCGTTTTGTTATTTTTACCATTTTGTTGTATTCCTATAGTTTATTATAGTGCTATCCCAAAATACTGCTAGTTTTTTACGTCGAGCTCTATTGTAATGCATTCGGACCTTCTTTCCTTTGCTTCGAATATTCCCTGTCATCCAGGGTTTTCCGTTGGCAGATTTCCTCTCTCAAAGGGGACAACTTTCTTTGAATGGCTTTACTAAGGTCTCCGTTAATCCATTGACAACTTTGAGCATTCCTCCAGCTGACGGGCTTCTTGTGATGACTTCCTATTTAGCGTTGATCCTCTTTGCTCTCATCGCTGTCACATTTGGTTCTATCGTCAACGCCGATTCTCACCTTATTCTTCTTTGATCTAACCGCGTTAGAGACATAGAAGGCAATGTCCTTAGTCTTTGTCAGACTGGCTATAGAGATCATCAACTCAAACCAGAAGATGAGTGTTGTCTTGTTTCTCCTCTTTGTGAAAGACTTCCTATATCTTCAATTCTCTTTTTTTTGTCTGCCAAAGACTTGTATTCGTCGCTCTTCCTCACCAGCTTGAGGCTGCCGTTTTCCCAAGGGAGTTTTATCTTTCTGTTAATCTTCTTTTGGGCGGCAATGTTTGCATATACGGCAAGTTTAAAGAAAACTTTATGGTTCTTTATGCCGCTGTGCTCGTCCAAAATTTTATTGTTGACGGTTTTCTGGTGGTCTTTAGGTAAATTATCTGAGCCCTTATTGTTATCGATCAATGCTTAGTGCATTTCGTCCCTACATTGTTTTTTGGCTGTTTTGTCTTAAGATGGCGGCTTCTTACCCGTTTCCTCGGTCCACTTTCTTTTCTTCCGGGTTCGCGAATTCATCTCAGAAATCCAAGGCTTGGCAGTCGATTTCACTCTTGGGCTCACCTTTTCAATGTTGGGGCTAATTTTGTCACACTCGTTTAAAGGATTCTTGTTGCAGCCTTTGCTCGCCTGCTGCCTCCTGATCTTTGCTGTAGAGCCCAAGCGGTTTTTTGTTTTTGTTGTGAGCTTCGCCAAGCTGTCGCTCACTTCTTCTATAATCTTGTGCTCCTCGTCCTTTCTTTGGAATTGCAAAACAGTAGTATTGTTGCTGCTGCGGTCAAATTAGGAGTCTGAGGCGCTACCTGTCATTGAAGGCTGGATCGAGCGTACACTTTCTTAGATCGACATGACCCATTTACGTACTTAACCTGCCTACTGGAAAAATACACAGGTATGCACAATTTTAGACTTCTGTCTCAATTCGTTCGAAGGATTGCGTTATTACAACTGAAAGACGGGCATCGTTAAATCGACTTACAATTTTACTCTGATCCAGAATATATATATACTTTGTATGGTCTAACATGAGTGAGGAATGTCAAATTAAATATATCCTCCATAGAATGGTAGAGGTATAAGAAAAGTTAAATTAAACCCGATGTTGTGCTGTAAGCGAAGATGTATTCTTTCTGTTTTAATTACGCTATCTTTGGAACGAATTTAGATAGAAGGCTAAAATTTTCCACACATGGCACATTGTCTTTTGCCGGTAAGAAGGTTAAGTTCGTAAATGGGCCATGTCGATCCACGTTTTCGTATATTCCAGCATTTAAGGAATTGATTTAAATCCGTCGTGTATACGAGCATCCACTGGCGTCGCTGTCAAAAAATTATATGATTTAAGAGAAAACAAAAATTATATCTAATTTTTATAATTTAACGATCCATTCCAATTGTTTTTTACCATGAATACTATCCAAGATTATTTATAAAGTATGTTCATAAAAAATGTATAAATAATCTGTAGTGCATTTCCAACATTGTAGATCTCATATATAGAAAAGTTCTGTTCTTCCATTTTTTCGGTAAGGTGTAGCTTCGTGTGAAAATTATTTAGTTTCCCTAACCGCAAAGGTTCAAGTGATGGGCAAATCGCCGATTCACGTGCCTTTTTTATTTTGGTCTTCTTCAACGCAGCGGTGTCGGAATATGGATATTTTCCTGAGGCGCACAGTACAAAAATAAGAACAAAAAAAAACAAATTTGAAGAATACGCAAAATTTCCAAGTTAATTTGCAAAATTTCACTAACCACAAAACACTTTATATTAGTCTATATTACAAATGTTTACACACTACCAATGTTGTTTATTATAATTTGTTTGTTTTGTTTCAGGTGTAGTATTTCATTACGTTGTGAAGGGGTTAAGGCCAACTATTCGCTGGAGTTTACTTTGCAACGTGCTTCTTATGACCGCCTACAGTTTTAAATTGTTTTCTCCACTCTCATACGGAATGAAGGGTCCACCAGCATCAAATTCCAATTCTTCTATGCATGCACTTAAATGGCTATCATCGTGGGAGTTTTGAGAGTACTTCTTATAAGAGATGTTCCCAAATTATTTTATTTTGAAAAATTTAGAACACCTGAGCGTTATGTATTTTCCTGTTTTAATATATTGTAATTGCTGTATTCTAAATTTTTTTTACTTTTGGTCAATAATAAAAATCATGTTTAAAAAGTCTACACAAATACAATTTGTGTATTTATTTTAAATCAATTAATTAGATGTGTCATTCAATGAATGATCGGTATAGAACGGATATTGTTTATACATTTTTTCACAAAATTATTATTCACAATTCATGTAATACACACGTAATTTCACTTTCAATGAGAAAATAAAGCAAACGACCGATGAGCCAAATACTAACCAAAAAACAAGTAAAAAAGCTATAAGTTCGGCCGGGCCGAACTTTGAATACCCTCCACCATTTGGTACAAATTTGGCCGTATATTAGGGTCTATACAAAGACGTGGACCTGCATAGGCAAATTTTGTCATAAACCATTACAATATTCAAATGCGAAACTTAAATAAAAAATTGGCGAATAAGGTAGCTAAAATCATCAGAATTTCGAATATAGGAAGGTACCGTTATATTGGGGCTATACGAAGACTTGAACCGGCAGAGACAATTTTCTGTCATAGGCTGTAGTATCTATTACGAATTTCAAACGCCAAATTTGAAACAATTCTGGTGAATAATGTCGCTAAATTCATCAAAATACCGAATGTCGCGAGGTACCGTTATATGGGGGCTATACAGGGACGTAGATCTGCACATTCAATTTTCTGTCTTAGGCTGTACTATCCCTTAGGAACTTCAAATATCAAATTTGAAATAATCCCGGTGAATAATGTCGCTAAAATCATCAAAATACCGAATATCGGGACATACAGTTATATGGGGGTTATACGAAGAAGTGGACCTGCACAGACAATTCTGTCATAGGCTGTAGTATCCATTACGAACTTCAAATGCGAAATTTGAAATAGTATCGGTAAATAATGTCGCTAAAATCATCAAAATACCGAATATCGGGAGGTACCGTTATATGGGGCTATACGAAGACGTAGACCTATATGGCACATTTTCTGTCTTAGGCTGTAGTATCCATTACGAACTTATAATATCAAATTTGAAATAATTCCGGTAAATAATGTCGCTAAACTCATCAAAATACCGAATATCGGGAGATACCGTCATATGGGGGCTATACGTAGACGTGAATCTACATGGTCCATTTTCAATACCAAAAGTCCTGTAGACATAATACACATTTGAGTAAAATTTTATTAACCTAATTCATTTCGTTGGGAAGCTAGAGTGATTCCACAGACGGACAGACGGATAGATGGACGGACATTGCTAAGTCGACATAGAATTTCATGCTTATCAAAAATATATATACTTTGTGGGGTCTAAAATGTATATTTCGAGGTGTTACAAACGGAATGACAAACTTAATATACCGTCCATCCTATGGTGGAGGGTATAAAAAAGCAGTGAATTCCGCCGGGCCGAACTTTGACTACCCTCCACCATTTGGGGCGAATTAAGAAAATTTTCAAAAAAAAAAAATATCCATTAAAAATTGTCGATATACGAGTTTATGAACTATAGAGACAATTCTATTTCAAGGAACTAAGACGGAACTCCGACATTTCCATTGAAAAATGTGGATAAAATCGTAAAAATACCGAATATCGGTGTACCGTTATATGAGGTGCTATATGGTATCGTGGACAAATATAGACCATCTTCGAACTTGACCAGCCTGCAGACAAAAGACAGATCTGTGCAAAATTGTAGTTTCCTATCTTAATTCGTTTTGACTGTAGCGTGATTACAACGGACGGACGGACAGGGCTAAATCGTCTTAGAATTTTACGCTGATGAAGAATATATATACTTTGTAGAGTCTAAAATTATCATTTCAATGAGTTACTGTTGACAATAAACGAAATAAAGTCATTTTTTGCTGAAATAATTTTTAGAAAAACTGTTTCCATTTCCTACACTTTTGTTGATTCGAGTTGCAAACACGAATTCATCCAAGCTCGGTTTTCGCAATCAAACAGCTCACATGATTCATTTGTTAATGAACTATTGTTGAATTGTTTACCACGAGATTGGTTTGGTTTGATTTTTAAATCCATTAAATCCAAAAAAAAAAATCGCGTAAAAATGCGAAATTTTAAAATTTTCATTTTGAATAACTATTTCGGAATGTACATTTGTAGTGTTTTTTTTTTAAATTCTAATATGATGTGTAGTCTTTTTGGGTAGTAGAAAGCGACGAAAATTGTGGAGTGGCGGAACTGAATAGATGATGTCAAAATAATTTAACGTGGTCAAATCAAAATTGCTAAAAAATCAAAAAAGAGCATATTGCACTGCAAAAACTCTAAAATACGGAAAAACTGAGAACATTTTTTCAATGGAATCAAATTTCAAAATAATAGTAAGGACCAAACTTCGTAGGGACCTTTAAATATTGGCTGTAAAAAACCAGCGAACAAGTTGAAGTTTACTTCAATTTGTTTATTAGTTACTATGCTTATAACTCAAGAACGTTTTGACGGATTTTCACAATTCATACAACTCCGGAATGGAATCTTGCAAAAAAAAATTGCGTAAAATATGCCAATAAAATATAAAAGAAAAAATCCTTTTGGCGTAAAATTTTTTCAATTTAAAAACTGTATAGAAATGTACATTTTTTATTGTTTTGAATTCTGAATGAATAATATCAAAAATGAAATAGTACGCAATAAGATGTTAAATTACGATTTTTCATGTCTGAAATTGACATTTAGCTTTCAACTCCAGGATCTACATCGTGCTTCAGCTGGAAGATGCGAACACATTTAAACAAACAAAAATAACCGACAACACGTTATGGGGCTCATTTCAACACGTGGACCTACCTACTTTTATCACATGACAATAATCCGTCCAATGAGAACTCAATATGCAAAATTCAGTGAAATACCGAATATAAAGAGAAAAGGATTTTTATTCTTTCAGAAATTCTTCCTAAACTTTCACGATACCTTAAATCACTTTTGCAGTTCATGATATGGGCCATAACCCCTGGATAAGGATACAACCCGATTTCAAGTATATTTTACATTTTAACCATATTTTCATACTATTTTCGGCAAATGTTGGTAATTAAGGAAGAAACCATCCATGCAAAAACTGATCACGTTTTGTATAACCATCATATGATTTAAGGAACCGGACATTTGTTTAATCGTCTTTGAATTATACTATGACTAGCTGGCCCGGTCCGCGTTGCCGGCCCGTAATTTTATTCTTTAATGCTATTATATCATCCACCTTGGAAAGGAGGGTATATTAACTTTTCATTCCATTTGTAACATCACTAAATGTTCGTTAAATATGCATATATATATTCATAATCAACATAAAACTCTATGTCGATTTGTCCGTCTGTATGTCTGTTTGTTTAAATTACGATACAGCCCACATTATTTGACGTATAGCGTCAAAATTTAGCCGAAAAATTCTTATTGTGTATAGGATGGTTGGTATTGAAAATGATCTATCGGTTCACGTTTTGGTATAGTCCCCATATAACGGTATCTCTAGAAATTCGGTATTTTGATGATTTTTGCCACATTTCTCCTCGGATTTGTCTAACACATATAACGATACGTACCTATATTGGGTATGTTGATAATCCACACATTTACGCGTATAATTGTTTCAAATTTGGTATTTTAGAAGGTTTGATAGATGACAATCCTTGAAGTATAAAATTGTCGACAGATGTTCCCGGTTTGGTATGGCCCCATATAACGGCCTAATTCACTTTATGGTTTTTTGATAAGTTAACTGCATTATTCAAACAGTCTTACTGGTATATGAAGTTTAAAGTGAAACACGCTTGAATTTAGATACTTTTATATAAAAAAATTATTACTATTATCCATCTGAGGGTAAGATGGATGATAGTAATAATTCTGCCCGGCCGAACTTAATTTTTTTACTTGTTTTTAAAGTAATATGAATTATTTGTCATTGAAATTGCGCGTTGGAGACCCCATAATTTCCATATCTTTTATCATAGTATAATTCAAAGATTAAACAAATGTCCCGTTCCTTAAATCATATGATATACAAAACGTGATCAGTTTTTGCGTAGATGGTTTCTTCCCAAATTACCAACATTTGCCGAAATTAGTATGAAAATATGGTTAAAATGTAAGATATACTTGAAATCAGGTGGTATCCTTACCCGGGGATTATGGCCCATATCATGAACTGAAAAAGTGATTTAAGGTATCGTGAAAGTTTAGGAAGAATTTCTGAATGAATAGAAATCCTTTTCCCTTTATATTCGGTATTTCACTAATTGCAGTCCCAATGAATTTTGCATATTGAGTTCTCATTGGACGGATTATTGTCATGTAATAGAAGTAGGTAGGTCCACGTGTTGAAATGGGGCTCATTTCGACAACGTTTTGTCGGTTATTTTTGCTTATTTAAATGTGTTCGCATCTTCCAGCTGAAGCACGATGTAGATCCTGAAGTTGAAAGCTAAATGCCAATTTCAGACATGAAAGATCGCCATTTAACATCTTATTGCGTACTATTTCATTTTTGATATTATTCATTCAGAATTCAAAACAATAAAAAATGTACAATTCTATATAGTTTTTAAATTGAAAAAATTTCACGCCAAAAGGATTTTTTCTTTTATATTTTTATTGTCATATTTTACGCAATTTGTTTTGCAAGATTCCATTCCGAAGTTGTATCAATTGTGAAAATTTTGGTTTCACCACGTTAAATTATTTTGACATCATCTATTCAGTTCCGCCACTCCATAATTTTCGTCGCTTTCTACTACCCAAAAAGACTACAAATCATATTAGAATTCAAAAAAAAAAAACACTACAAATGTACATTCCGAAATAGTAAGTCTAAATGGAAAAAAAATCATGCAAAATAAAACATTACTATTGTACACTTCAAAAGTCAAAATGAAAATTTTAAAATTTCACATTTTTACGCGATTTTTTTTTTTTTTTTTTTTGGATTTTATCCTTTTCTGCCAAGAGACAATTCCGAATTTGTCTAAATCGTTGAAATCAGATCAGCGGTTCTTGAGTTATAAGCGTAGTAACTAACACAACTTCCTTATATATATAGACAGATTAGAAGTATGC